GTGAGGAACTGTGAACCGAAGGCCACTCCAGAGCTGTGGGGCGGGCAGGAGGACAGGGAGGCTGCTAGGTGGGGCCTTTGCCTTATCCCAACCCCAGCCCTCCCTCCCTGTCCCACAGCACTGCTCTGAGCCAGCTGGCCACTGCCCCCTTAGGTCCTCTCTCCTGCCTCAGACTTACACTGGCTCCTGCCTTCATGGGGTTGCCCAGGTCACACACCAGTAGGCGGCTCTGGTTCACGGCAAAGTAGTCACAGCTCAGGCTGGAGAAGTTCTGCAGGTGGGGCGGGTGTGCAGATAAGGTTTTGGTGCCCTCCTGGCAGGGCTGCTCCCCAGCCCCCCTGAGAGTCCCGTTCGTACCCCTGGGTGTCTGACGAGTCCTGAGTACTCGGCCTCCGGAGGAGCCGTGACCCGAAGCTCAGCCTCATAGGCGCCACCCTCACCCACATTCTGGGCGTGGAAGGTTAGGTTCAGAGCGTTCCGTCCGTCCGTCCGTCCGTGGGGAGGGCATGTGTAAACGAGGGTCCTTCACAGTGCATGGGGGTGGGGATCCTCAGCTCCTCACCTCCCGGCTCTGGCCCTTCAAGTATGTCTCTGGGCTGGGAGAGGAGCGTCTCCCTGGCCCTCAGCACCTTCAGGAAGCACCCAGCCCCCTCCCCGTCAGTAGACTGAGGGTGGGGGGACTGAGCCTTCAGGATTGGAGTCTGGGAATAGGCGTCAGGCATCTGAGGTGGCTGGAGGCTTGAGCTGAGCTTTTTCCATGGCGGTGCCTGAAACCCCAGCCTGATGTTCGTCTTACTTACCCAAACACTTCCAGCTGCAGGTCTGGCACACAGATGTTGTCTTCTCCACAGTCCAGTAGGATCTGAGCCTGGGAAGCAGGGGGGCCACGAGAGAGGGAGTGTAGAGCCTCTCCTGGGCTGTAGGTAGGCTCCCCGACTCAGGGTCCTGCCGAAGGTGCCCAGGCCCCCCTCCTCCCGGCTCCCCCCCACCCTGTCCTCACCTTGTCTTCGATGCGGCTCTTGCTCTGGTAATGTAAGACTGGCCGGAGGCCGTGGCTGTCCACGGGGGCTTGCGGGTCCAGGGAGAAGTTGAGGGCAATGTGAATCGGGGAGAGTTTGTCCGGAACTCCG